CATATAATTGAATGTGCCATATTATATGACTTCCTCTTATACATGATTAAAAGGTAATTAATTTTTTTATTTACAAATCACATAGTAATCACTTAACAATTGATAATTAGTTAAGTAAATATAAAAATTCTGCAATGTAACAGGAAACTAATATTTACAACATGAAATCAGAAGCAACAATATAATAATGAGGAAATAAAAGGTTTTATTTATAAATAAAAAAAAAAAGAAAGGTATAAATTTATAAATAGAACCTTTTTAAAAAAATGTCTTTAATAAATGCATTTGGATTACAGCCTAGCGAAGTTTCTATACTTAAAAAAATGTTGGTTTTTTACAAAAAAATTAGCTTTAATAAATAAAAATATTTCTACTCACCAGGCCTCCAAAAAGGTTAAAAGAAAAATTTTTAACAAAACAAAATTTTGAGTTATGGAAAAATATTTAATTTAAAAAATATAATTAATTTTTTTTTTTGAGGAGGGGGGGGGGGGGAGACAAGAAAAGCCTGATTTCCTCCCCCCTCCCTCTCCCTTACTTTGAGCCTACCCTAGGCACAAAAAAATTATAAGTAAATTATAAATTTGTTATTACCCTAAATTATATATTTATTATTAACCTTTTTACAACATAAAATTAAGATATAGCTAACTTTGTCATAAATAAGTTAGCAATAAATTTTATGCTGACTCAGCATAAATATAAGCTTTACTTAAAAAGTTGCATTTAGAAAAGTTGAAAAATGCAGTAATATATTTTTTTATTAATAGCGATGTTTGATACCTATATTGTAAGTTATAACAATGCCTCAAAAAAATGATCAAGGTGATATCACCATTTTGACCGTCGAAATACCCCAAAATATATATATATTTTTTTAAATTTTAATTCACCTCCTCAAGGCCGAGAAGACCACAACAGACGAGGAGGCTATTTATTTGTGGTTATAACCCTCTCTTAACTCTATAACAAACCTTGACGAACAAGGCCGCTGCGCGGAGAAACGAGTTGAGCGCTGTACTACCAGGGACGTGGTGGGGATCAAACTCGGAACCACTCGTTTATGAAGCGAGCGCTCTACCACTACACCACTACCGCATATAATAACCTTTATTATCTAATTTACATGTAATTATGGTGGTCAAAAAAATTTTCAAAATGAAATTTGTATCCGTTATGTGAAAGATTATCTATGTACAAAATTTCAGAATGATGTCTTATTTGGTTCATAAAATGTTGCTATTTAACAACAAAAAAGTGTTTTGTAAAAAATGTTGAGTCAGCGTAAGTAAGAAAATTGAATCCTGAGTATCTCAAGAACAGTAAGGGGTTTGAGGTTCCAAATATCAGATTTTCTTGATTTTTATAAACCTAAAACATAATAGAAAATTAGCAAAATCTAAAGCATGGGGTGACATAAGCCTGCTGATTTGACATGGAATTACCCTATATTAATTTCAATAACTTTTTTTTTAATAACTGCAAAATCACTAACAATTTCAATAATTAAATCCATTTTGCAAACTTGAACTGCGTGCAATAAAATTATGTTGAAAATTATATTTTATGAGGAATTTTTTGGATTTAGTTAGTTACATGTACCAACTTTAAAGCTATATTGGTAACCAATATAGTTTAAAATTTAGTATATATGGCCAACTAAATATGAACTAATTTCGAACTAACTGGCAATCGGTTAAGTTTAAATGTTAGTAGTTACGGCTGTTGGCTAACTGAAATCAAACTTAGATTTGATCTAAATACATTACTTTTTTCTTTTGAATCGTGAAAACAACTTTAGCGAAATTCAAATTTAAAAAGTTTTTAGGAAATATACTTTTTGTTCACATTCTTCCAAAATAAAAATTCGTTGTCTTTCCTCATTCTGTTGTTTTAAAAGGAACCAGTTCCTAGCTTCGTTCCTCAAATAAAGAACTAGTTCCAGGAATCCGTTCCTTTTGGAACGCATTCTTCCAAACACTGACATGCATACATACATACATGCATATATATATATATATATATATATATATATATATATATATATATATATATATATATATATATATATATATATATATATATATATATATATATATATATATATATATATATATATATATATATATATATATATATATATATATATATATATATATATATATATATATATATATATATATATATATATATATATATATATATATATATATATATGTATATGTATATATATATGTATATATATATGTATATATATATATATATATATATATATATATATATATATATATATATATATATATATATATATATTCATACATACATGCTTACATACATACATTCATGCATACATACTTATATCCTTTTAATTTAAATAGCAAATAAAAATGAATTTTTAAAATCACCTACGTTAGCCTAATAATGACCATCTGGCCAGCACTATTTTTTGCGCCAACATTTAATTTCAAGACTGGAACTTGTGAAAATAAAAGAAGTTTTAATCCAGAGAAATTAGCAGAAGTTCAAATTAAATTAATGGGTTGAAAATGAATGTTAACTGACATTAGTAACCATCAAAAATAATACAATAGTCAATATAATATCAGGATCAGCACAAAAATGATTACTACTTTAAAGTAACTAGTTATTATTTAAAAAAGTACACTAAGAGTCTTTTGTAGTGAACAGTAATGAAAACAAGCTGGATATATTATGCACATTAATAAAAAATCTGGTCCCAAATTAAAATTAACAGTAAATATAAAATGCGTTCCACCTGTATTTAGTGCTAGGATTGTTGAACAACTGATCTATATTTAGAAAATATCTTTAATGCAGCAAAAAATGCAATAGTAAATAATTGTGTGGTCTCTAGGTCATCTGTTTAAAAGAAACTATCGGTTAATTTGTCTCTAGGTCATCTGTTTAAAAAAAACTCAATCCAATTGATTATCCAAATTCTCTAAATTGATTAGACATCTTCACAGGTCCGATAGTTTTATATGCACTCACTCTTAATATTACATTGTTTGCAAAATCACATGAAAAAAAGTAAATACACAGATATAATAAAAAAGCATTCTTGAAAGAAACAGTTAATTTCATGAGATTTTTTTTTTCATAATAAAAACATTAGCTTTGCTTTAAGTTTAAACTTTATACTGCTTATATGTTTTTGTTGCATACGTGAACATGAAATTAATTTGAAAATGAAATGTGTAAAAGTAAAAAAATGTAAAAAAGTGTTTTTGAGTACCAGATTAACATACTTTAGAAAAACTTTTTCAATATATTAGGGACCCATCAAATTTTTAAGGGTCCTGAGCTATCCCTAAAAATATTTTTTATTTAAAAAAATTTTAAACCTAGTGTTTTAGTATTATATAAAACAAATTAAAGGGGTCAGAGCAGGTTTTTCTCAAAAAAAGTTGTTTTAAGTGCCACCCTAATACAGGCATAATTTCCATAGTTCCATTAGTTTGTTTTGAACACTTAATAAGATTTAATTAAGGTTTGAGTAAGATTTTTAAATTTGTTTGTTTTATATATAAATTTTGTTTATTTTTAATTAAAATTTGTTATTTAATTATTACAATGCTAAGCGGAAAGGTGTTAAATAAGGAAGAAAAAAATTGTTGCTTATGGAAATTTCGCTGAGTGTATATGACATGGAACCATGACGTACTATTAAATGCACCAAATTATTGGAATTGCCAAGAGGTCTATTAAACTCATAAAAAATTATATTTCCTATTGACATCTGAGCATATGTTTCAAATTTCTTTTTTGTAACTTTTTCATTTTATTACATACAGTGTGTGTGAGTATGTAAGCATATGTCAGCTGATTAAAATGCAGCTCAATTAAATAAAGATGAGTAGATGTCTATGGGTCTTTTGTTTAAAATAAACTATCCGGTTAATTTTCAGGATTTTGGGACTAATAGGCATTTCACCACACAACTTGAAACTTGATTGATTTGCCATGATTGCCATGAAACATGATTCGTGTACCAATCATGTTTTTAAGTTGCAATGACCTACAAAAACTTTTAAGTTGCGTTGACAAAAACTGTTGTATGAAGAAATGGTTTTTTGGTTTCTTCTACTCTTGGTCATGACAGTTAATAAGATTCAAAAATTGTTATTGATAACACAACTTTGAAAATTGTTTCAAAAATTTGCATTTTTAATTATATTTTGGGATTACATCTTATGAGTTTCTAATTATGTATAGTGTTAGTATCTTAGTAATTACATTTTATGTTTTTCATTTACAACTTTTATGCAATTTAAACATTTTAAGTTTTTCAATTATAACGTTTATGTTGTCAATTACAACTTGAAAAAGTGTAGTTTTTGGTAGCATTAATTTCTATATTTTCTCTGTTAATATAAGTATGTATGTATGTATGTATGTATGTATGTATGTATGTATGTATGTATGTATGTATGTATGTATGTATGTATGTATGTATGTATGTATGTATGTATGTATGTATGTATGTATGTATGTATGTATATATGTATGTATATATATATATGTATGTATGTATGCAACCCAAGAAATTAGGGTTGGCATTCAGCAATGTCGATTTAACTGCTGACCTAAAAGTGTTTGAGGTCGGCAAAAAAATGCCGATCTCGTTTTTATGTTTAATAATTAGACCTTTGTATCAAATTTTTTTTGCCGACCTGATGCCGACCTCTAAAAGATTGAGGTCGGCAAATTATTGCCGACCTTATTTTTCCTAATTCCGAGGGTTTGTGTATGTATGTATGTATGTATGTATGTATGTATGTATGTATGTATGTATGTATGTATGTATGTATGTATGTATGTATGTATGTTTGTTTGTTTGTTTGTTTGTATTTATATATGTTTATATGTGTGTATATATGTATTTTTGTATGAATCTATTCATGTATGTATATGTAGTTAAAAAAAGAAGGGAAAAAAAGCATGAGTATAAATTCACAAGTGTTTAAATATACTTTTAGCTAATTCATAATGAGCACTCATGAACATTCAGATTACATTGTAAGTTCAGATGAAGAAAAAGATTTTTTTGATGAAGGAGGATCACCAGTAAATGATATTTCTTATGAAGGAGTTTTATCAAAATGGACAAACTACTTGCACGGATGGCAGTCTCGGTATTTAGTTTTGAGAGATGGAACTCTTTCCTATTATAAATCTGAGTATGATACTGCTTATGGAAGTAGAGGGTCTGTCAGTGTCAAGAAAGCTGTAGTAGAGGTTAGATTATTATTTAAAAAAATTATAAAAGAAGGTGGTTTAGGTGGGTTTTTTATTTATGAAGTAAAAGAGCTTTATCTGTCAGTTAATATAATTATTATATCACTTGACTATACAACTGATGTTACTTGGGCAATTCCATACAAAAATATCCCTTTTTTTATAAAATGTAACCCTTAGTCTCAGATCTTGCTGATTTTTACACCACTCAATGATTTTAATAAGTTATAATTATCTCCGAAATTTCATCACCTAATTTAAAATGGTTTCAAAGATATAACTATTTAAACTTTGCCATAAACCAACAAAAATCCTTTAATTTAAAAAAAAATGGTTTTGGTCTTTTTTTTTTTGGTTCTGTGTGCATTGGAAAGGTGAAAATATGTACTCTTACATATAATGAGGCAAGGAATCTAATAAAACAACTTAAATAGTTTAAAAAATAAACATAATACCTGTAATTTTGACCTTTATGACAATTTTACTGGGGTGAGTTTAATTATAAAAATGCAGATGTAGCTTGATTTTTTTTTAGTTGTTATTCTGAATAGTTTAGAGTTGTAACAAAGAATTAAAGAGTGGTCTTTTCTTTAACAGAAATAAAAAAAGACACGGTTAAACTAATTTAAATTTGTTACTTATAAAACAAGAATTATGAAAAATCAAAAGAAACAAAAAGGTTGTACTCTTAAGTGCTTAATACAGGAAAATGATGTTTGTACATCATTTTCCTGTATTAAGCACTTATTTGTAAATTTTACTTTCTATGAACAAAAAAACTGTATATTAAAACTAAGAAGAAAAAAATTTCATTTAATGTTATCTAATTTTTGAGACCGGCTTAGGTCTTAAAAGTCAAAAAATAGAACCTCATTTATAGAAATAAAAATAAAAAATTCCTATACTCCGGTTTTTTAATACCCCTTCCCCTCCCCCTTCATTTTTCTTCACATTTTTATTTACCCTCATTTATTACATCTTGTCCCTGGTTGAACTTAACTCCTCAACTTGTTTTTCTGCGCAGCAGGCTTGTTAGTCAAGGTTTGTGTTTCAAAGTTATAGAGTTGAGAGAAGGTTGTAACCACAATTAAAATAACCTCGTTGACTGTAGTGGTCTTCATGGCTTTGTGGAGGTGAGTTTTACCAATAACTATCTCAGCTAATTGTTGGCCACTAGTCAATAAAAAAAAAAACTGTTTATATTCATCAAAATTAATTTAGTCAAAACTTAATTAGTATAGTCAAATTTTTTTGTATAGTAATTAAAAATTTAATAAAATATTTAGAAACATTAAATTAAAAAGTCAGATTATGATTCTAATTTTCCTCTTCAAATTTATCCACTAATGATGTACAATGTTTTTTTCTGTTTCCAGCGATTATCTTTTTCTAGATATTTCCAGAATTCGAAACAAACTATGACCTGGATGATATTTGTGTTTTGAAAAAAAACCACAGTTCAGTTTTTTGTGAAGTTGATTTTTTAAAAAAATTTAGTCTATACATTTGCATATTTATAATTGGACTCACCCCCTGATAAAATTTAATAAACTTTTGAAATTTTGGAATGGATTTTATAAAACTACCAAAAAAACAACAGAAAAAGCAAGTCAACAACAACTAAAAGAACAATTTGATTTTTTATTGTTTCTGTTTTACAAGTAACAAATTTAAGTAAATTTGACCATATTTTTTTCTTCTGATTAAGAAAAGACCACTCTTCAATTCATTGTAACAACTCTAACTGAACTATTCAGGACAATATCTAAAAAAAAAAATTGAACTACATCTGTATTTTTGTAATTAAACTCGCTCCATTAAAATTGCAATAAAGGTCAAAATTACAGTTATTCATGTTGTTCCTTGGCTCTAAATATGTAAGTATACATATTTTCAGCTTTCCATTGCACACAGAACAGAAACAAAGACCAAAACCATTTTTTAAAATGGTAGATTTTTGTTTATGGCAAAGTTTAAATAGTTATAACTTAAAAACCACTTAAAATTATATAATAAAATTTTGTAGGCGTTCATAATTTGTTAAAATCTTTGAGTGGTATAAAAAGCAGCAAAATCTGAGACTAAGGGTTGCAACCCTTGGAATTAGAGTTAACATTCAGCTCGCCAACCCAACTGCCAACCTAGAAGTGTTTGAGGTTGGAAAAAAATTGTTGTCATGTTTTATGGTTAAAAATATAAACCTCTGTTTTACATTTTTTCTGCTGACCTGATTTTTCTAATTCTGAGGTCTGGGGTTGTATGCCTAGGATGTTTTTACATGGAATCACCCACATGTCTTACTATGTCACTATGAACATTTTTACTCATTTCTCATCTTTTAAGCTTATATATCAGTTGATTTATCATTTATCATTGATATATCAATTTTAAGCTTATATATCAGTTATGGATTTTTTGATTTCTAACAAAAGAAATTTTAAACAAACTTATGTTAAAGTCTTTTTTTTTAAAAATGTTTTAAATATTATAGGTTCACGAGTTTGATAGTTGCAGGTTTGATGTAAATGTCGGAGATTGTATTTATTACTTAAGAGCTCCTGATCCTGATGAGAGACAGAAGTGGGTTGATGTACTGGAGGCTTCAAAAGTTAGTTTATTTTTTAAAAAATTTTTATTTTTATTTTATTTTCATGTTTTCACTTCACTTTTAGTTTTTTTTGTACTTCATTATTATTTATAGATCAAGTCTAAAATCTGAACCTTTGAGTAGTTTAGGGGTATATTTTATATTGTTAAAGAATAATTATTTTAGAGTTATATATATAAAAGAAGTTATGTATATAAGCATATTTGTACTCACTGCAGTATGCAGCTACATAAAAAGATGTAAGTATCATAGGCAAATAAGAGGGTGTGTTGGTGTTTAATAAATGAGTGGGTGTGTTGGTGTGTTAACACACATTTGGCATCTCATTATAATGGTCTTGAGCTAAAAAAAGCAAAATGTCTCAGTTATAGTGTTACTCACTTCATAGTGTTCTAGTAAATAATATTAGAAAGTGTTACTTTCCAATATGTAAGGAAAGTTTGTATACCTAGGGCCAGATATTTCAAAGCCCCTACTTCTCTAAAAATGGTACAACTGATATGACCACACCTCTATTCTAATTACTTTATATTAATATAGGTATAATGGCTTCAATTAAAAAAGTCCGTCATGTAGAAAGGTTTAAAAATTAGTGGCCCTAGATATAATAAGCTTTTTTTTAATTGTACCTTGGGCCACTAGCTATTGTACTTAGGGCTGCACTCTGAAAATTAGGTAAGCTTCTTAATAAATTAACAACATAAATTTGATTAAAAATTTGCCTTATCTTAAATTATTTCCAACAAAATTAAAATAAATAAATAACAAAATTTACTAATAGTTCTAAGCAAAATTGACAAAAAAGTTTATGCGCAAAATGGTAACCCAAAAACAACAGCGAGAAAGAATTCTGTACCAATCAAAATAATTCTGCACCAATCAAAATTCAAGAATCTACCTTGTTATCAAACATTCTTTATGCACATATGGCCCTAGGTACAAGCGGACTATATGGCTACAATGATTGATAACCTCATAAAAAATATCATTTGGTAACAAATCTGGATTGAGAATAAACTTATGGAACATTGCATTTAGTACTTATGTAACAAACAATATATGCAAGAACCTATAGAAAAGAATTTCCTCTAGGATTGTAAAACAATATAAGATAAAAGCAGCAAAACTTTACTTTAGACCATCAAAAAGCGTTTTCTAATTACAACTTGCCGTGGCAGTGCTCTCTGAGAATTAAAATAGAATCAAAAAATATTTTTTTTTTTAACTAATCCCCTGACTGAGAAGCATAACTTAAAACTTTTTAAATTTCAAATAAAGTGGGGTAGCCCTAGGTACAAGGAGGCCCTAGGTACACAAACTTCCTCTATATATTTGTTAGTATAATACATGAGTGTTTTTCTTAATTCTATTTAAATTTAATTTTATTGAGCTAGCAGGTAGAATCAGGCTATGGATCTGAATCACATCTTCCTAAAGCTGTTTCTACATTATCTCTTGTTTCACAACCAAGCCTTCACTCAACATCATCTTGTGTGGTACTTTTTTAGTAGTATTTGTCTATTTTTTCATTAATTTTTATATATTTTGTATATAAAAAATCAATTTTTTATTAGTTGAATAATTTAAATACATTTTAATTTAGTTTGGTAATTGCTATAATTTCATAAAGAACTTAAGACAATGAGTTAAAAATTATTTAAAGTTGTTTAACAGAATTATATAACAAAATCTGGGAGAAACTAACCTATTATTGGAATAATATAAGTTTTTACCTTTTTTTAAGTTTTGGGGCAAAAAATATTGACACAGAGAAAAGTTGAAATAACTTAAAACTTGTTTTTAAATATTTTTTTTATTATATAAAAGATTAATGTTGTCAACATTTAACTCATAGAAAACCATAGGTCTGCGAGAAAAACTTCTTGAGTTAGAAACGTATCGTGATATATTGTCACGACAGACTGATACTTTACAAGAATATTTTGACAGTTGTGCTGAAAAAAATGCTGACCATATACACTATCCACATCTTGACATGAAAGAAGATGAAGAAGGTAAATATTTTAAAATAATGATGCTATGATATAATAGTTGTATCATTATTTAAATATCTATACAATTATTATTTTGTAACAAGTAATGTAACACATTAATATGTGTTATATCTTTGCAGTTATGATTAAAAAAATTGTTGCATTGTTTTCAAAACTCTAAATTTTTATCAAATTCATTCTTTAAGCGATATCATCTTTTAAGTTAAGTATTTTAAACTCAGTTAATTTATAGTATTATTTTAAAGGTTATTATTATATTATATTTTAAATACTAGTTGAGATTAATTATTTAATTTTATTTTATTAATATTTGTATATCGCAGTTTTTTTACTTATTTTTTTTTGTAATTATGTTTGATAATGTTTTTATAAACAGTTTTATGTTTTAGCATGTCATCCAAGATACATAATTAGTTTAAAAAGGATTTTTCTTGCAAAAAAAATAAAAAAAATTGTTCAATATCTTCTTCAGTTTTAATTTTCTAGTAGTTCAAGCTTTTTGAAACAAAATTTTAGTATGCCTTTTTTTTTGAAAGCACTGTATATATGCCAGACTTTCACAGAGACATGCAGTCACACACATTGGTTGACCACAGATCTAATATTTTGTACTTTGCATGTTTTTGATAATTTGCCCGTTTTAAAAATGCATTGAAAAATCTAAGCTAAAAAGAAGATTTAAAAAAAGCACAGTTAACAGAAAATAAAAGATAAACCTAAAAAAATAAAACCATAAAAATGATATATACTTTTCATTTTAAAATCATTCCACTTATTGTTTTCCACAGTGGAAATATTGTTTGAAATCAAAAAAGGTTCAAATATTATAATTTTTTATACCTTCGATATGTTATAGCTCTTAATAAATAACCAAATTCCGTGTTTGAGGGTTGACTGTCAGCTCATCTTTTGAGCGCAGGTTTCACTTACTTTACATTGAACCTTTTTGTTTTTTAATGTTTTAATATAATTAAAAAATATCAAAGTTTCAACGTTTATAATTAATTAAGTTTCAAAGTTGTTAAGTTTAGATTAAATAACTTTGAAACTTTGATCTTTTCTAAAGTCTATCAAAAGAAATGATTTTAAATGAAAAAAAAAAAAAAAAAGTATTTTTATGTATACTATTTATAATTTTATTATATATTTTATCATTTATTTTTTCATTCGTTAAAATATCTTTTTACAATTAATGGTTGCTTTTTTTATTTTTTTATGTATATATATATATATATATATATATATATATATATATATATATATATATATATATATATATATATATATATATATATATATATATATATATATATATACACACACTTTTAGACAGTTCATCTGAATTAGCAAATACATGCAACTACGATAATTCTGTATCTGGTATTGATTTTCGAGGTGAAGCTATTACATTTAAGGCCACTACAGCTGGAGTAATTCAAGTTCTCTCACATTGTATTGAAACTATAACAAAAAGAGAGGAATACTGGAAAAGAAAACTTGAACGAGTAATTCTTATTTTACTAGTAATTTTTAATTTTTTTTTCTGTTGTTTACAAATAATATTTTAATAACAAAAAAAAAAAATATTTAGTACTTTTAATGTTTTTTGTGAAATCTGCTGCGGTTTTTATATATTAAATAATTTGTGTGCAGGAGCAAGAGAAATGCCATAAGTTGATTGAGCAGCTACAAGAATATCAAGAAGAAAAAAAGCGTCTAGCAAATAAACAGTTTATTGGAGGACCTGATTATATGGTAAAATTTGATAATTTTTTTTTTTCAATTTGTAGATTTATGTTACAAAGAATGACTAACTTTCACAACTTGTACAGTTTTTTAGCTATGAAACATTTTGTTGAGCAAATTCTGTAATTAATAAATAAAAGTGTTAAAACAATGTTTCATAACATTATATAGTACTATAGCCAGTGTTGCTTCAAATAGAACATGCGTTTGGTGGTATTATAGGTTAATTATTTAGTACCTCATAAAATTGATATTCCATGTTTGTTACATATATCTTGTATTTGTTTCTATGTTTTATTTGTCATATTTATATTTAAAGTATTTAAATTTCAAGTTGCTGACTTTTCATTTTGAAATCAAACAGTTAAAATGTTTAATTTCAATTTGCTGACTTTTCATTTTGAAAGCAAACAGTTACAATGTTTAATTTCAAATAGCTGACTTTTCATTTTGAAAGCTAGCAGTTACAATGTTTAATTTATTTTTCTTAAAAGTTGTAATGTTAAGAAATATTAATTAAACATTGTAACTGCTAATGGAGTCTATTAGTAAAACTTCTTGATATTGTACATGCATGTAAAAAATATTCATTTAACCTTGTATTTATACTAAACCTCAAAGAACTTTTCATAAATTTTGCAAATAATTTTTTTTTAACTTATTGCGTAATATTTTTTAAAGAATTCAAAGAAATTTCAAAAATTTTACTATGGAGTCGGAGTCGTACTCTGAAAATTTCAACGATTGAATTCGGAGTCGATACTTTGTTTTTACGAGTCTCATTTTAAAAAATGTTTTGAAATCCTTTAATGTTAATGTGAATTTTGTATTGTGAATTTTCATGTATACAATGTTTTTAAGTCTCTTTTTAATTTTTTCATACTATATTTTGCTATACAATATTCTAATATCTGAAGATATTTTGGCTCAGCATAGGAACAGCCTCAAAGAAGCATCTGTTATTGACCAACATTTTTGCAAGTACTACTACTATGTGCTGAATCAATAATGGCCATATTTATACTCATATTGTACAGGTTTTAACATTTAAAAAATCTAGAAAATGCTATAGTTAATGTGGTATTGAAAATTGAGAATAGTGGAAGGTCATCCTGTCGAGTGTTATGTCATGATTGAGAATAGTGGAAGGTCATCCTGTTGAGTGTCATGATTGATTACAAAGCTTCCATTTTAAATTTTATTTAAATTCACAAGAAGTCTACCTTAAAAAGTTTTTAAGTTTAGGTTTATTTAAAATTTCAAGCCATTTTCACTAATTAAAAATTTTTTTTGATTAATAATTCACATTCTGGAATTATTAAGTCTTACAGTATGGGTGACAAAGTACCAGACTAATTCAGGCTAATTCTAAAAACCCAAATAAAAAAGGGTAGGGGTATCCAAGTACACTGCGTTGGGTATAAATTTCTCATTAGCCTCTTCTGCTTGAATCACAATCGGCATACATCCTAGCATCTCAGGCATTGTGGAAGGACACCTTCAGGGCATTGATGCTGTTGTGAGGATGTTCACAGGCCTTGTGCTGGACATATGCCCATAGTACTGTAGTAGTCCAATGGGTTGAGGCCTAGAGAACTGGGAGGCCATATATTTTTAGACCAGATATCTTGGTGATTTTTACAAAAATGAGTCTTTTTTGCTGAATGACATTGTGCACCATCTTGTTGAAAGACTACTTTTTTATCAGAAATGTAGTTAGAAGCAATTTAAAGCTTCAAATTGTTATTCAAGATGTACACTTTTATGTTGATTTTGACACCAAAATCAATTTATACTTGGCATTTTTATACTATTTGATGACACAAGGTCAAAATCCATTACTGAGGCTGGATGGTCAGTCTGGAACTTAAACCAGATGTCTTCCAAGACTTCTTCTGGTGTCTTGCTGAAATATACCAGTCAGTTAGAGTATTTGAGATTGAATCCACCATAAAAATTTTCTCATCTGAAAAAAGTAAAAATGGCCCACCTTCAAAATACTAAATATTTTCTTGGATTTTTCAAGTCTTTTGGCCTTTAGGCTCTCAATAAGCAGGTGTCTTTTTGTCGTGGCCCTGGACTTGGCCTTAAGACCCTTTTTCACAAAAGCCTGTGTTGTAAAGTCATTTACACGAAGTTACCAGGCAATTTTTCTCATTGACCTGTCTGAGTTACTCCAAATCTGATCTCTTATGGCCCGGATCAGCTTTTTATTTCTGACTGGCTTTTTTTTTAGTATACTTGCGTCCAACTGTTTTTAATTTCAAAAACCGTTTTATTGTATTTTAAACAGTTGATTTTGCAGCTCCCAATGTTTAATTATGTCTGAGGGTGGAACCCTGTTCACATAGAGATTGATTGTTACACAATTCCAATCAGACATCTTATAAATTCTTACAAATTTTTGTTTGTTTTGATGATTTAGAGGTTTGATTTTAATTATATCATTTGATGATTTAGATGTTTGATTTTAATTATATCATTTGATGATTTAGAGGTTTGATTTTAATTATATCATTTGATGATTTAGAGGTTTGATTTTAATTATATCATTTGAGTCATGAATGTTTAAAAAATTTAAAATTATGGCACCAAAGAAAGTCTGAAAATTCATCACAAATATTGTATAATAAAACAAAAAGCTGGATACCCTTCTCTGAACTTGGGTGAGTTAAAAACACTATGGAAGTTTTTGTTTGTTAAGGTGTATCATATTGCCAAAAAACTTTTTGTTGTTGTTTTTTCTTCACAGGGCTCAAATTAAGTGATCGCTTATTGCGAAATCTGGAAATGCTTCTGTTCTTTAAACTTTAGGTTTTTTAAGAACTGTAATTTGTTTTTATCATTTAACTCAATAGGTGTTAATTTAAAAATAGGTGTTATTTTTTATTGATCCTGAACTATGATATAAAATTTCATTATAAAACCATATTATTATTATAATTTTTATTATTACTATTCTTAAAAATTATGATTTTAATAAAGGTTGGATTAAGTAAAACTGACACTTTTTATAACTTGAATTAAAAAAGATTGGAATGAGCTACAAAGTTGATTTTTTTATTGAATGCTTATTAAGTCTAAAACAAAAATAAATAAAGAAAAGAATTAAATTTCTTTAGTACAATAAAATTTTCTAATTTTTCTCTTGATGAGTCATAAGATTTTGCATTAGGTGAGATCCATACTCTGTGGTGGTTTTATCCCACTTCTTCTTAAAGTCAGTACTTGATTTTGCTTGCCTAAACTTCTTACATAATTTGGCTTTAATAATCGCCCAATATTGCTCAATTGGACGAAGTTCTGGACAATTTGCAGGATTGTGTCTTCTAGGTATGAAATCAATACTATTGGCATTGTAGAAGGTTAACGTGGATTTAGAGTAATGACAACACACTAGGTCACGCCAAAAGGTTGCATTACCATCGTGGGCATTCCACAGTGGTAATAAGCACTTTTTAAGGCACTCTTTTTGATAGATTTCACTATTTATTGTGGAATTAGTGACAAAACTTTGTGTTTTTAATCCACATTGACATATGGCTTGCCGAACCATAATTTTTTGGGAGAATTTTTTTAGTTTTATTGTTTTAAATTTAGCCTTTACCTCTTTCCTAGAAACTCCCATATAAAAATGATGTCCTGGAATTGTTTTGAAATTTGATTTCACATAAGTTTCATCATCCATAATTATACTTTTTTTTTTTTCTACATAATAATTTGTATAATTTTCCTCCACGACTTTTTGCCACTAAATTTTCTTCAGCATTGCGATCTGGGGCCTTAAACATCTTGAAGGACTTAATTTTATGCTTTTTCTTGATAGTCCGAACCATTTGTCTGCTAATTTTGCCAAAACATTCGTCTTCAGTTTTTTGTTAATGCCGCTTCCAGGCTTTCTATTTATTGTATTAAGTGTCAAATACTTATTTAAAGTTCTAATCACAGTGCTTTTAGAATATCCAACAGTTTTTATAATCGATTTGAGAGGCAAATTAGGATTTTCCATTCGAGCGTGCAAAATTGCATCACGCACTTGTTGCTGTTTTGTTGCCATTTTGAATAATAATAAAAATTTTTCTAAAAAAATATTTTAACTGAAATAGTAATACATAGATAATTGTTTTTCTTTATGATAACATTCTGTATGATTTTTTTAGCGTCCTAATTATAAGAAATAAAAAGTGTCAATTTTACTTAATTCAACCTTTATTTTAATTTATTTTATAAATCATCAGATAAAAATAGAAAAATATATACAGTACTATGTAATATTAAGAAACAACTGCAAATCACAACAGTCTAAAGGAATTTAGCAGTGATCAAATATTTCAAATAAAAGAAATTCCGAAATAAGATATAAAATACTTTTATATCTTATTTAAATCTTATTCAATATTTTCTTATAAATTAAATGTTTAAAAAATATATAAAAAACTTATTTAAAACAAAACAAAAAACTCTAATAACTTACTTAGAAATATCTTTTTAATAATATTTTTATTATCAATTAATTCATTTTTAATTTCAAACATTTAGATTTTTAAATAAATAATTCCTCAAAGTTTCCCCCTAAAAAAACATTGATTTCAATGTTTCATAAATTGTGCAAATAGTTTAAGTATAATTTTTTATTGGTTGATTAAAAATACTGTGCAAGTTATTTAGACCTTAAATAATTAAAGTATTTTTCCTATAACTTTTTTATTTATTTCTAATCCTTTAATTGCCTGGTGTTTAAAGAAACAATATTTTAAAATGTTTTTACTGTTATTACTTTTTAAGTAGTAAGTTTATTGATTTTTTTTTTTAAATTTAATTTTGCAGTATGATAAATTGACTTTTTCATGAAAACAGTGTTAACGGTTTTTAATAAACTGAGAATTTGATGACCAGAAATATTTCTAGAAATGGTTATTCACGATCACTTAATTCGAGCCTTGCTTTAATAAAAATATTAATTGAAGAAGATCCCAGCATACAAAACACACACATTTAAGATTTTTTTTATTTCAACATGCAAACATAGACATGCTTAGACAACCACGCAAGCAAAATATATTTGCAAAAAAAAAAAAAAAAAAAAATTTAAGATGTTATAAAAACATTTTTAAGCATTCTAAAAATTAATGAAATATGTAGATTTATTCAAAACTTACTAACAGGTTTTAAACAAATTCTAATTTTGAATTTTAATTGAAAAAATATCTTCCAATTTTTGTTAATAAATTAAATTAATCCTAAATCAAATTAATGAATTTTTTTTCTGTTATGTTGTGTATAATGTGGTAATCTATCATTTATGTATAGTTTGTGTTGATGTATGTTGATGGTGGTTATTAATTTTTTAGGAAGGTCCTCACAGTAAACTCAATGAAGAGCAATTTTTTGATGCTGTTGATAGTGCCTTAGATGCTGAAGATTTAAATGATGATTTAGATGCAGTATGTTTTATATTTAAATTGAAATCTAATAATAACTTTGATATAACCTTTCACTGTATATTGTTATTATAAACTTTTTTTTTATATTTATCACTTGATATTATATTAGAACAATATAGTAACAGCCTTATTTTTAATTTAAAATTTGAGGTTTCCTAATTAAAAATACTTTGAAGTTTTCTCTTGTCAAATAATTGTTTATATTGTTAGATTACATGAGTACAACATACATTGACTGGTTTTAGTAGATTTTGCTTGAGTATTATGTACACTGACTAAAAGACACTGGTCATATCGGATTTTACATAAGTACAACACATAAGTACAACATAGATTCAATAAAAGACACTGATCTTATCGGATTTTACATAAGTCTTATCGGATTTTACATAAGTTTTATATAAGTACAACATACATTGACTAAAAGACACTGGTCTTATTGGATTTTATATGAGTACAACATAGATTCAATAAAAGACAAAGTTTTACATAAGTACAACATACATTGACTAAAAGACACTGGTCTTATTGGATTTTATATGAGTAAAACATAGATTCAATAAAAGACACTGGTCATAATGGATTTGCATTACATTACATAGTAATGGGTGAAAGTATTCTGCGATATAAAATAACATAATCACAGTTTCTAGCACTGCCACTGACTTTATTTACACACTTTTAAAGGATATGAAATGATGTTCATTCTTATTTTAAAAATAAAGTAGAATCAGATTTATTTATTGTCTCTTATTCATAGACAATAAATTATCTAGATACCTCAACAAATAACAAATTCGGAAAATATATCTTTAATATCTATTGCAAAGATGCTATAACTAATGTACAAATAAAACCACATTCTTATGGTTACTAAAAGGGTTTTTAAACAGAGCTTTTTCATTATAAAGTCTAGAATATGTGAATCAAGAATTAGAACTTATTAGAGATGTATTTCCTTGGATGGTTACTTATTTAAAAATTGCAGGATGATCAAGAATTAATGACTCAAAAAAAGAAGCCTAAACTTCCTAACAACTTTTATCCTAGAGTGTGTTTTCTTGAATGTTCACGTAGAAAGTTATTTGTTAGGGAAACTAAACTAAAAATTTTAAAGTACGTCACCAAGCATTTAAGGTAGAGTGGAAAAAATTACCTCTTTTTAAACATTCAAAAAAAAAATTGTTATAGTGTCTTCGAATATAGTCAAAGTAACAACTTAAATAATTCAAGAGATTCTCTTTTCTACTAAAAAATAAATATTGTCTAGTGTTTCTGAATGTTGGTGGTTTAGATAAAAATGATGCTGATTACATCATTGTTCTCAAAACCTTATTTTTTTTTGCAAAAACATGTGTTAAAAGTTTATTTTTTAACAATTTTTTTTTACTTATAGCTTGAATAATAATTAAATATAACACCTAAAAATAAATTTAAAAAGTAAAAACATTTGAGCTATAATATGATGTTTTATCTATATCAATAAAATTCTTTTTTTCTAACACCTTTTTTCTCCAGCACTTTTTTTCTTGTTCATTTTTTCTAATACATTTTTTCTAGTACATTTTTTTCTTATACATTTTTTTCTTGTACATTTTTTTCTTGTGCATATTTTTATTATCTTTTTTTTACTAGTAAACTGAAAACAAGAATTTAATTTTAAAAATAAATATTTTTTTATTGAGAATGATATTGAAAAAGAGAATATCCCCCCACCAAAACCAACATCTGAAATAATGAACATGCCAAAGCACAGATTATCAAAAGAGGTTTGGACCACATTTAATAGTCATAACATTAAAATACTTTTTAAAAAATTTATGTATTAAACTTAATCGAACCTGAATAAATGAACCTTTTAGAAGAGTTTTTTTTATACACATCAAAACATTTTACAGGTGGATAGTAAGCTGAAAGAATTTTTAACACTGCTTAAAGAAAATGTTGAAGCTCCTAACTCTGGATGGGATTTAGTTTTTGAAGATGGAGAAATGCGGGTATTTTTTTTTTTTTACATTGTTATTTTATGTTTCCTGCATTTTGTTATTGCTGTAGTTTTCATTAATAAAATTTTGGTCTTTATTTACAGACAACACAAAATATAAAATATGATAAAATTTGTTATATTATATATACTGTTCAACAATTACGTGAATAAAATTCAGGTTTTGTAACATAGCATATACTGCATTTAATGTTGATTTAATAGTTTATTTAGTTTTATCATTGTTTTTTTTTAAACAATCATTTTTAATATTCATTAAATTATTAAAATTTGATTAATATTTTGTATATGCTACAGATAAATAATTTCAGATTAAGGCTTAAATTAATAGAGGAAGGGGTGGGTTAGTGCTTATGAGAAAAGTTTTGAGAGCCACTGGTTTTAGTGAACATCATTGTATGCTAAGGATATTTTAATTTTTAATATACAGTATTGGACAAAACAAGTGCAACCAAATAATGCCAATTTAGTTTCTTTATATAAAAGTGCTGCATTTTTTCAATTTAGAGAAATAACTATGTAACTGTTTAGAGACAACATTCTTCAAGTTTTCTTCATCACAAAATTTATTATTTGTACACAAAAATTAATAAATTAATCAAAAGTATTAAAAAAAGTTGATTTCCTTCTGGACAAAACAAGTGCAACTCCACAAAATGTTGACCAAGCTGTATTTTGCTATCAATATTTCGTGGCGAATCTTTTGTTGTCGATCACAGCCTTGCATCTTCGAGGCATAGATTCGATCAGGTGATCAATGAAATTTTGTGGAATCGCTGCCCAGGCCTTTTGGATTTATTCAAACAGTTGATTCTTATTACGAACACCTTCACAATTAATTCTGCAGTTGACGATCTCCTACAGGTTCTCAATAGGGTTGAGATCCGGAGATTGAGGTGGCCAATCCATCACCGATAGGTGGTTGTCTTGAAACCACTGCTTGACTACTTTTGCAGTGTGTTTCGGATCGTTGTCTTGCTGAAAATCCCATTTTATTGGCATATTCCATTCAGCATGAGGTAACATAACATATTTCAGGATATTTTTATACATAAAACGGTCCATTATTCCATCGATTCAATGTATTGGTTCTAGACCGTTAGCAGAAAAACACCCCCAGATCATTATATTACGGTAACGTAAATCGAGGCGTTTTCTGGCCTGTCGACGTACACAGCAAATACCATCGCTTCTAATGATGTTGAACTTCAATTCATCACTGAACAGGACAGTTTGCCATTTCTGCACATTCCAGTCAATATGAGATGAGCAAACAGGAGTCTTTTCTTCTGGTTCTTTAGTGAAATCAGCGGTTTCTTTGCAGGGTGTTGAGAAAACAATCCGGCTTCAACAGTACGTTGTCTGATTGTTCGGTCCGATACAGGCAGCTCTAATTTCTTTTGTATCTCGACTGATGATATCCAGGGATCCTTCTTGACAGATCTGACCATCATAGAATCCTCTCTAGAAGTGGTGGAATGCGGTCTTCCACTTTTGTTATCTGCTACCAACTTCCCCGTAGAACGATATTTGGTCTTGATACGATCCATTTTTTTACGGGATATTTATCACAAATACTTTTTTGTGACATTCCACTTACGTAATTGCCAATAATTTTCTTTCTTAGTTCCAATCCAAGGGAGCCATTTTTGCACTTTAAGTCATAAAAATAATAAAAATAAATAATCACGCTTCTCAAGGCTTACAGTGTTACATTTACTTTGTGATGATACAGTAATGCTCTGTGGAACAAAACATCTTAGATGTGGAGTGTATTGATGTAATGAAACACTTGTTGTATTTCACTTCTTGTATTGATGTTCTTCGACAAAACACTTTGATAAAACTCACTTCGATAAACTTGATCGAAAATCTTGATAATACTGACTGATTGACTTCCATATACTGACTGAATTACATGTTGGTTTACATGTCTCTTATATAGTAAAATGAACCTGTGTGAACCTGTTCTGGAAGATTCTAGATGCTTCTTTTTGACATTCTGGAAGCTTCTGGATGCGTCTGGATGCTTCTGAATGTTTCTGGATACTTCTGGATGCTTTAGGATGCTTCCAGATGCTTCTTCTGGAAGCTTCTGCATGTTTCTGGAAACTTCTGGAAACTTCTGGATAGATCTTTTAATTATTAAAGAACTTTCGTGACGTTGACATGGACCAGACTTAAGAATATGAAACAAACCAAAAAAGTTGCATTTGTTTTGTCCGCTGCAAAATGGCACTTGTCAACGAAATTCTTCCTGTGTGCTGTCACCTGTCAGCTGATTGCTCATGTCATGGCATGCTATGACTCCAGACTGAATTGTTTGCTGAGGTAGTATAGTTCGTTTCATTTTTAAGACATGTAAAATTAGGAACACTTTTTAGCATTGTTCGATGTTGGCTGCAAATTTTTTGTCCAATACTGTATATAGTTGTTTTACTTCATTACTAAAAACACAAAAAGGGACCCCAATACTCTTTACTCCAACAACCTTTACTTTAATACCCTTTACTCCAACACCCTTTACTCTGAGGCCTCATAAGAGTTTATATAACAATTTCCTTTTTTTAATGTTTTTTTAAACAATTATTTCATGCAGAGTTTATTTAAAGTTTTAATTAGACAAATTCACTGTAAAGTAGGTGATAATTTTTATAGGATGTATTGTTAATAATTTTTATAAATATATTTATAATAGTTTCAATATTAGGTTTATCGCAAAGATTATGAAGTTGATACAATTGTATGTGATCCTATGAAAGCATCTCATGTTATCCCTGTAAGATAAATTTTGATGATTATGTCTTTAAATTGGTTGCAGATAAAATTGATTTTTGTATTATATGTTTTTGACTAATAACTCATATAATTATACAAGGGTGTTACAGGGCGCGAAGCCTGTCATTACTTCTTTGATAAAGATGTCAGACTTGATTGGGAAAGTAAGATAAAGTTTTCAATTTTTTCATGTTTCTGCAGTATACAAAGTAGTTTTACTAAATAGCTTATATTGGTATTATATATTTATATATTGGTATAATATATTTATATTGGTATTATATATTTATATATTGGTATAATATATTTATATTGGTATTATATATTTATATATTGGCTTATATATTGGTATATTTTTGATATACTATATATTTACATTATTATTACTATTATTATTTACTATTATCATTACTACTATTAACATAAGTTATACTACTGATTTTTATTTTTTATTTTTATAATGGACCTGTGTCACCTACTAATTACCTGTTTACGTGTTTGGCACTACATAAACACATTCAAGGCTGTTACTAATATGACTAATAAACACATGTGCTTGGATACTGCAATGATTGCCATAATACTGTCATCTAACTACACTGACATGCTTATCAATATAACCCACTTATTGCAATGCACATATAG